TATTCAGTTTCTATCCCTGAACGTAAAAACGAAAAATGAAGCCGGTTTCTTGATCTTTCATTTTGTTTGAGCAATTGAAAAACGAAATATGTGCCTTTTTTTCATTTTTTTTCAGATTTCAATATTAAATTAAAAAACGAATGATCGGAAGATACCCTGATTATGTTTATCATCTCATTTTGTGAAACTTCCACTTCAGAAAAAAGTATAGTGTAGGGCTGCACGATAAATCGCATGCGATATTTAATGCGCACCAATGTAAGAACACAATTTATGAACACCATAAATGAGTTTATTAACACGTGTCGTTACGATGCTGCAAAGTGTTTAACCGTACACATATGTCACGCAGAAAAACTAACTCCACGAACAACCACAAAGACAAAAACGTGCGACAGCGGAACGCCAACTGAGCCCACAGACCAACATAGAAGAAAGCTGAAGGTTTACGCTTTATGATTGAGTCTGGAGTTACAAAGCAGCATGCGAACGTTCCCTTTAGTCGACTAAATGCTTCCCCTTCCCCTGTTTCCAGATGACCAACTGCATATCCTGACCATACATATCCGAGGAGAGGAGACGGTCCTGGCGATTTTCAGCGACGCATATCCTGCCTCACGTGGAGAAGAAAACAACAATAATGACAGCATTACACTGGCAGAAACGAACAATAAAGACTGTCTTAAGTTTGCCTTATTCAGGCTCATGATCTGTGTGAATGTGGATGCTGACTGAACCCATTCTGAAGGTGATGATGAAGATGATTTTACTACATGTGCTGTTAACGTTGCATTTGGTTCGTTTATCATGCCCTCCTGCTGCACTAATTCTTTTTCATATCTACATGTTGTCTCGAATGCATGCAATAACATAATCGAATAAGATTCAGATATAGTTTTTCTATTGTTACTTTAAGTGGCGTTGCATCCAAATGAATAGCCAGTGTGTGTGAGAGTGTGTGTGTGTGTGTTTTTAAAGAAATTTAAATGGATAAAAAAGTAAGGAATCATTGAGATCTTTGTACAGTTTATCATCTAATAAAACAATACTAAAAGGAGGTGTTTTGTCTTAAACTAGAATGCAAGAACCTTTGTGAGTGACAGAACAGTATTTAATCTTAAAGCTGATATTGTATTAAATGAAATGGATACATGTAACATTTATTTTCTAGCGTTATTTAGACGTCTCGTACACGTGGTGCTGTAAGTGTTCAAATATTACAATAGCATCTGTAAAAAGGAAAAGAATATATCTTTTTTTGTAAATGTCCTGTTTCTTTTTAGAGAAAAGATGATTCTTGTACAGCATGGCTATAATCCTATGCAATATGTATTCATATAGACCTACTGACAATTGTAAGGTGGGGCGGGTTTGTTTCATTTCAGAGAATAAAAAAGCTTTAACGGGACAGTTCAGAGATAAGGGTGCTTCGCATTTGAAATGCACTGCTGTAGTTGCATGACAACTCCTGATCAATACAGTGTGTGTCATCATGACAACGGACCAACATTAAAGGGAGGAAGTGGGTGGAGCTAAAGCCATTACAAACTATGTGAAACCAATTGTTTCCTTTTTCAGAATAAAGCTTCCAAAATATGTCAGTGTTTCTGTGTGATTCTATAGAAATGTGCTATAAATCACCCGCCTATTAACAAACTTTTGCCTTACTGACTTTATGAGCACATTTGACTAAAAATCATACTTTTAATTGTTTTTATGGGCGTTCTGTAAAGCCTGTCTCACTTCGTAACCAATGGGGGCAGAGCTTAGCAAAGGTGTAACTGGATTTTAGTATTATTTACTGTATATACTATTATAGCATATATTCATAAATTAAATTTTTAGCTTCAGTTTTAGTCATTTTGTTATGCGCTTTTGTCATTTTTATTCGTTTTTTATTTTTATTGAACTTTCATTTTTTATTTTAGTTTAGTCATTTTAGAGTAGCTATTTCAGTTAACTGGCAAGTTTAGGTGTTTCTTCTTATATTTAGATATCATTTCAATTAATGAAATGATTCTTAATAGTTTTAATTGTTATAATTTTAATACTTAAACTGGCTTTATTTCATTTAGTTGCCAAGGCAACATTTCTATTTATTTATTTTTTTTAGAAATTTTTTGTTTTTCATTTAAAATGTATATTTTATTTCTGCTTTATTGCAGTTAATTAAATTATTTATAACAGTTTTAGTTTTAGTAATTTTTATACTTCAGCTTATTTTCAGTTAGTTGCTAAGTAGCATTTCTATTTTTAAGATTTTTATAGGTTTTATTTTTATAATATTTATTTATTATTTCAGTTAAATTTGTAATAGTTTTAGTTCAATTTAAATTTTTCATATAATATTTATATTTTATTTCAGGTTTATTGCAATTAACAACATTTTTATAAAGCTATGACTTATTTAAATTGGTAGCTAAAGCAGCATTTCTACTTTTTTACTTTGTTTTTCATCTAATACCATTTATTTCATCTTCATTTCAGTAACATTTCTAGTAATTTGCACTTCAACTTATTTTATTACAATTAGTTGAAATAATTTTTCCAAGATTTTAGTGATATTTCTATTTTTCAGCTTTCTTGCAATTAACGAAAAGATTTTAGTTTTATTTTAGTTTTAATTGTTTTAGTTTTTGTTAACAACGACAGTGATTTTGAGAGCACACTCTACCTCATTCTTGCATCAGCTCTTTCATCTTCTTCTCGACTTCCTCCACGAAAGCAGGAAAGCCAGAATCGAGCAGGCAGACGCGCAGTAGTGCCTCCAGGTCTCCAGAGGGCAGCGTGCACTGATGATACGCCATCGGCAGGGACAGCTCACGCTCACCCAGGAAGTACTGAAGAGGAAGAGACTATCATGTGCATGAAAAGTCAGTGTGCACTTCACGGATGACATCTCAGTGGTCAAATTAAAATATCACTGACTACAGCATCTAATGCAGTGACTCAACACCAGATCCAGGCTGTCAGATCAATGCAGATCCAGTGGTACCTGAGAAAGGTGTTTGATTGACAGCGGTCCCATGGCAACGGCAGGGGCTGCTTGTGGTGCATCTTCAGGAGCCTGAAGTGGAAACAGAAATAGATCCATTCATTATAGTCTCAGGATTCACACAGAGGGCCTCCGCAGCCGATCAATACCCTCATTACTAATTGAATGTCCTCATCCCTGGCAATCTTTCTCATCCTGCTGCGGGGCATCGCTGTCACTAACTATATTTTACACAGAGACTTTCCTTTGTGCTTTTGTGTTCCCTATATGTAGAGCATCAAGTCTGTGTATTTACATTTCAGATTCACAAATAAGCAGTTCAGCTGAGGGTGGGATTATTTCTCTCCTCACCCATTTATTATCATTATGTGGCAACAGCGCCACCTAGTGACGGAAATCCAAATTAACATTTATTATTAGTTAAATTAACTTCCCTCAAGATTAAATGAAAACTGAAACAAAAATATATATTTTTAATAAATGTTCCTGGTCTTATTATGCAACCTTCATATTTGCATGATAAAATAAAGACAAGAAACAATCTTTCATCAAAATATGATAACGTCTCAAATGATTTCTGCTGACTAACCAAAGGGGAAATAATATTAATGAATAAACCACAAGACAGTTCCATCATAATCCAAATCCTGACCTACATTATTTCCTGATAAATATTTGTTTGTCACATTACATTCTTTAAACATGTTACAAATCATTTCAACTGTTTATAGCTTGTGATGGCTTGTGTATAAATATTATGTGCAGTAAGTCCAGATAGATGATAGATAGACAGACAGACAGACAGACAGATAGATAGATAGATAGATAGACTGAATAACTGATTGATTGGTTGATTAACTTTCATAATTGTTCATCAAAATTGTATAGCTTCTCAAATGATTTCTGCTGACTAACCAAAAGAAACAAATATTAATTAAATCCTGTGCTGCATTGTTTCCTGTTAAATATTCTGATATATGTCACATTACATGCATTAAATGTGGCGCACAAGGCATTTCAACTGTTTATAGCTTGACATACATATTATGTACAGTAAGTCCAGATAGATAGATAGATGAATTTCCATAATCTTGTACCAAAATACAACTTCTCGAATGACGCCTGCTGACTAAACAAGGAAAAAATAATATTAATCAATAAAATCCCAAGCCAGTTGTGCCATGACTAATGATCCAATTAAATTCTACCTTATTTTCTGCTAAATGTTCTGTTTTATATAACATTACATGCATTAAACGTGTCGCACAAGTCATTTGAACTGTTTATAACTTGTTACTATTACGGTTTATAAATATTACGTACAGTTAGTTCAGCTAGGTAGTTGCTGTTTTCTGCCCAAGGATTGTTCCTTTGGTGGTATGTTACCCGGTACTTACCGGGAAGCTCACCAGTATTTACCAGCCTGTTGATGTGACCTGCTAAAAAGCCAAAGGACAAACCCACTGGCACTGTCACTTGCTCTTACCACTGCAACCTGCTCTAGTAGTACCTACTGTACACACCATTATTACCCCATAGTTTCCCTTTATATTAACAAACATCTTTTGAGAAGATGGATGGGTGGATGGAAAATAAGTCTAGTATTTCCAACCTGCTGCTGCTGTGTAGACGGTCCAGGTTCTGCAGGATCAGATGGAGCAGCAGGTGCAGGGGTGGTCAGATGCTCCTGGACAGGAACATAATCCTGCAGCCTCTCCACAGCCTTCCTGCAAACCTCAGCCGCTTCTGCCCGACTACTGCCATCAAACTGCAGTCGGATCAAACGGCTCTCACCCTTACACACACATGCAAAACAAAAACACAGAAGTACCACTGTAATCAGCTGTATTTTCATATCACGTATAAACAAGGTGTTCCTTAAAACTTGCATTAGGAACATAAGACATTCAACACTAATTAAACTCAATTTCAGCTGAAAACAGCATCAATGTAATTGTACAGGTGCAAACACAAAACCACATTTGCAACAATTTATGCATCGCATTTGCACATAAACGATGCTCTGCTGTTTGCAACCAAATAACTTTAACAGGGACTGTTGTTTTCAAGAAATGCATCAGTATTCATGAAGCAGGGAATTATTGTTCAAAAAGACATGTTGGAGAAGAGATAATTAGCTTAATTAACAAGCCACAGATTTTGTCTTTGAGCTGTAAGTTGAAGGTCACTCGGAAGCAGTTATTTTTTTTTTAATTTGCATATTAAAATTGTTTATTGCTTTCAAGGACAAAGAGGCGGAACCATCCTTCAGGACAACATGCACGCATCACATCTTGTTGAGCATATAAACTGCAGATCAAGGTATGGGAACATACTTCATTCATCAAATGCATAAATTTGAAACATCACAGAACTGCTTCTCACCTTCATTGTAATGTTGAACAGCAGACTGTCATATTTGTGCTGGATTTTCAGGAAGCTCTGTGCATTGAGCAGAGAAAAGCCCTCCTACGAAAAAAAACCCCAAGAAAATAAGACCACACATCACCATTATCCAGCAGAGACTCATTTAATAGGATTATATCAGGCTGAAAAACACATCATGTAAGCAGAGCAGCATGAACCTGCCATCAGCAAACCTCCTCCAGTGTTTCTAATGCAGATTCAGAAACACTTAATCCAATCAATCAATATTTTTACCAACTAAATTTTGTGCTGGGGAAAATGTGAATGGTTTTTTGTAAATGAAAAGGTTGCACGGATGTTATGTGTGGTATATAGATATATACCGTAATCAGGTTAGTCAATGCCTCTACATCTATAAAAGCATTTTCTTCATTGAGACATTGAGTACAAGGTATTTTGTGCTATTGCACAAGCATGTCAGAAGGGGGCTCTACTAACAACTTCAATGCATGATTGTCATGTTCACCTCACAGGCAATATGCAACCAGGAACCATATCAACATTCATTCTGGTTCTAATACTGCTACTGTTACTTTTGCTACTACTACTAAAGGTTCTACTCAAGTGGGTATAGTTAACGTTTTACAGCAAGAACAAACGGGGAAACTTTCCCCTCATTTCATGCAAAATCAAAACTAGAATTATTTTCTTGGATTTATCATAAATCACTTAATGATCACTTGATACTTGATGAAGAAAGTGCAGTGACTGAATAAACTACATAATTCTACAGAGTTAAAGTATATACTTTAACCTAAAAACAGATTTTTACTCTCTGCAGAAAAATGCTCAAAGAGGATAAGATTAAAATTAATATCTTTGCTTGTGAAATATCGCATCAGCGTTGCACGGCATTGTTTTTTGCATCTGGTTTGTTGTGCAAGCAAAAAATGATTGGATTGTGTTTAGAACAAAAACACGATCTAAACTTGGAAACTTTGGAAAAGTGACTATTTCAAATGTAGAGCTTTTTTTTTCAGTTTGGAAAATGGAAATGTCTGTAAACATGTTATATATAATAAAACAGGGTTGTTCAGATTATAAACTCATATCCATGACTGGACGCCGGTCCCTGCTCTCAAAATCACCCCATGCTTTGCTCTGGATGGGCACGCTGCCTCATTTGGCTCCGTTGTTCTGCATGAAAGCTGGAAATGTGACTCTTTCTCCAAATGCAGCTCCCCGGCTCACCATGAGGAGCCAGAGACTATTGTGTCCACGAGTCCAAGATTGAGGCTTATTGTTGAGAGATATCCGAAGCACTCAGCCTGGCAATCCCAAAGGGACAGCGACAGGCCCAGTGGGACGGGAAGGGGATTATGCTGTTCTTTCTGCGGGTGGAAAGAAATACGGTCAAGCTCTTATGATGGGCTCAGCGGAACCTGCGCTATCCTGACCCTGCACTTAAAGCCTGATGGGAAGAAGAGTGTCAAAGGCTTAGAGAGTGGCATTTCATAAACAGCCAAAAAAAAACATTTTCATTGGTCACTAGACAGATCCTGTGTGTTTTCATATAATCTTACCATGAGTTCCTGGCCTTGAGATACTAGCAGATGACCAGAGCCCAGAATATTCAGCTCCAGCTGGCCAGCGCTTTCACTGGACTCGAAAATCTGAAAGAAACACAAATTAGAAACTAGTTTAGAACAGAATCTAACAGGGACTTGGGGTGAACCACCCAAAACACCCAGCATCCATTTAACAACACCCTAACAACCACCCAGAACACCCTAGACATCATATAGCAACAGTCAACAATTTAATGGTTGAGCAAACAACACTAACACTGTCTTTAAACAACTCTATTTTAGAATTATTGATTTTATTAGCAGTAGCCTACTAATAGTTATCTTACCAACTTGTTCTACTCATTAAACTTTTTTTTTCGGAGTTTCGAAGAAACAACAACAACTCATGGTTAAAAACGAATGGGGTTTGCTTTTTTCCCCACTCTGAGATGTCTGTATGAATAAGAAATTAAAATATTTCACTCATAACACGCAAATGTCCCGTTTTTCTTTCCGTAAAGGGCAGGACTTTCGCTCATGTCTCACCTTCCATGCGCTGATAACGTTAACGGTACTACCTACGGGGAGAAATCGACCGTAGCGTCGCAGTTTCCAAACACAAGCGGAAATTGTCGTGTCTTTCGAATGTTCTCTGTACGAATAATCACTTTCCATGTTCGCGTTTACTTATTTTCCCGAAAATTAAGCGCGTAAAACCGATGAAAAAAGGCGGAGGCGGATTGACGGTTAATATTTAAATCGCGTAGCCTACTAGCGTAACAGTAGTGCGCATGCGTCAATATTTCCAACGTCGAATTTTATGTTAGTCAGAAAATGAAAATAATGTGTTTTAGTGTAAATTTGGTTTAATGATGTAATATTACGTTTTGAAATTACCAGTTCGTTATAATTTGAGGAACTACATGTATTACAGTTTTTCTGAATTGCTAAAACACATTTCTTGAAACCATCACTCATTTTCTCAAAACCTTAAACACAAATCCAAATACTCAAACTAAATTCACAAAACCTCTGACTCTTCCATCAAAACCAAACAATCACTGCAAAACCATTTCACTTGCACTCAAAATCAAACTGCTCTCAGATCACACACACGGGTCAATAAAATAAACACTACAGAGCATTCATTAGACACTACAGAGAAGAATGGAGAACACAGCATCCAGAACATTACAGAAAAAAGTATATTCTATTGAGTAAACCATTTAGCAATTCTGTAAAAAGCATAGTAATTGCAACTAAGATGAATATATTGTATAGGCCTACTGTATGTACTGCAAGAATAGTATTGTGCTGAATATTGAATAGTACTGAATGTTTGTATACTGTATATTCAGCACTTGGATACTGCAAAAATACTGCAGTCCAACTGCAAAGGCCAAAAAGGTCAAATAAAACTCTAAATGAATAGCATGTTACAGTACACTCAAATACTGTAAGTTGTGCAATTGTTTACAACAGTGTGATAAGTGTTTAAGTGAATGAGAATGTCTTTAAAGTTTTGCAAAAAAGAGTGCATGAGATTTGCAAATAGAGCCTAACTGCCTGAATGTGTTTAAAGTTTAGCAGAAAGAGTGCTTTATTCGACAAATTGGTTTAAGCTAGTGAGAATTTGGTTCAGATTGGGGTTTAGTGTTTTAGCAATTCAGAAAAACTGTAAAACGACAACGTGTATAAAGCAGTGGTTTAATTCGTATAAATCTAACGTTATTTTCCTCTGGGTTACTGACACCAGTCAGTGGTCTCTAAAAAGAAAAAATAAATAATCTGACAATGTAATTTGAGTCGATAAACCCACTCTAAATGTTGGTTTTATGTGTAAAATGTGAATATTGTGTGAAAATTGCGTGAGGAGAACCTTAAAGGGTTATAGTCAAACCAAAATGTATTCAGACACCTTCAAAATTTCTCACATTATCACCGTTTATTCATAGGCTAGTTTAGAAAATGGTAATAAAATATGACAAGAGCTCAAGAGTTAAACTGTGTCAATACAAATTCATCTTGATAATGTCAGATAACTGATAGAAAGGTAGGCTATGTAACAAAACACGGTCAGCTCAAAGTGTCAAATCGAATTTTTGGTCCCAAATTTTTATCAGTTTTACTGGAAGTCCACTGTATGAAGAATTTTGGGGTATAATATGTCACAGTTTACTTTATTTTGTTATCCTCACTTAGGCCTACATAAATGAACTATACACTCTAAAAAATGCTGGGTTAAATACAACCCAGTGCTGGGTAAAATAGGGACAAACCCATTTTAATAGTGTCATTGCTGGGTTTGTCCCTATTTTACCCAGCACTGGGTTATATTTAACCCAGCATTTTTTAGAGTGTAGTGTCCTGCACCCACTAGTAAAAAAATAAAAATAAATAAATTATACGTGGTGTGTGAATAATGTTTGGTTAGACTAGGTGTCTGGGACCTGACTGACTCTGAGTGGGTGGGCTGAGCTGCCGCTCTCGCTTCTATGGCAACCCGACAGATCAGCATCACCATGAATATTCACGAGATCAGAGCGACTCGGGACGCGGCGGAAGGCGGTGATGTGGGCTACTCGATCGCGGGCGTTTGCTTGTGATTGACACCCGACGGGGATCCTCCTGAGGGTCCGTGACCTCCGCGCCGCGGATCTGCAATTCCTCAGACTTTCTTTATACGTGCTCGCAGAGCAACACAGTCAGTGCCTTGAAGCTGGAGACCACTGGATCAGGCGAATTTGGGCAGCCAGGTAGCCTAATGCGCCGTGGCATGTGCTTGAGCGAAAGACAGGTGGGTTTAACCCTTCAGACTATTCGGGTTTTGGTGCACAGGGATTTGTGGCAATAATTACACCCGAATTGGATTCGTTTGTCATTGAATTGATCGCGCACCCGTTTCAATGTCATAATGGACAGGTTGCATTCGTCCATGCGTAAAAGGCTCTACAGTTTGCCACAGCACATCGGGCAGAAAGCGTCCATCATGGGTGATGCAGAAGACGCCGACAAGGACACCCGGAGGAAGAGCATCCGGATGAAGCCCCTGCCTTCCGCCGGAGCCCTCGGGGAGACCAGAAGTGGAGAGTCCGTGATCATGGAGACGGACATCGGGAGACCCGTAAAGACCAGCTCCAACGGGGACTGCCGGAGGTTCCGAGGCAGCCTTTCTTCCATCACCAGTAGGCACGTCCACGACTCGGATGTAGCGGAAGAGAGGCGTCTGATCACGGAAGGAGAAGTCACTCCGAGCGAGGAGAGCCCTCCTGGAGCCGCGGGTGGCGGCGGCGGCGGCGGGGGAGAGGATGCCGCCGGTGCGAGCCAGCAGCAGCAACCGGGCGTCCCGGATCAGCAGGCTGGCTTTATAAAGCTGGAGGGCATCGAGCAGATCCTGCCTGACGACGAGAGGTACTATCAAGCGGGCTTCATGCACAGGCAATTCGGGGCGATGCTGCAGCCCGGGGTCAACAAGTTTTCCCTGAGGATGTTTGGGAGCGAGAAGGCGGTGGAACGGGAGCAAGAACGGGTCAAATCCGCCGGCTTCTGGATTATTCACCCCTACAGTGATTTCAGGTAACCCGTTCCGTGTCCCTCCGAAACACTGCTCTCTTTACACCCGTGCATGGGGGAGAAATAATGTAGTTGGACTGACCCAAAATAGCATATAATGAGGGTTCAATTTCAAATGTATTATTTGTTAGAAACTGCCTGCTTTTTTAATAGTGTCAACCCATTATCGAAGAAGAAGAAAGCAAATGAAAGGCTATAAAGAGAGAGGCATGATTGATGCACTCTTAAAAATAACGTTTTTTTTATTGTCAGGTTCCATGAGGAACCTTTAACATTTCCATTGCACAAAAGGTTCTTTATAGTGGAAAAATATTCTTTAGATTATTAAAATGTTCTTTACACTAAGAAAAAAAGTAGTTCTTTTAAGAACTGATCACTGAAACATTCATTGGGAACCAAAAATGCTCCATATGGCATTGCTGCTAATGTTTATTTTTAACAGTGCATCTAAATTTGCTATTTTTAAAGGTGTATTGATGGTATTAATGCCTTTAAATAGTTACAGTTACATATATTTAACTCCATAAAATATCAGATTCCATTTCAAAGTCAAATGCCACTGACAAATTGGCAGCCAGAAAAAGTAAAAAACATTTAAGTTTTGTTTATATTTTTCTTCTTCTTCTTCCAAATGTGCCATTTTGCAACATACCAGGCAAAAGCTCTCCCAGCTGACAGTAGAAGTGCATTAGCTGCTTAAATTTTACATGAAATCCAGACACTCTCTCTCTTTGTTAATTAAGACGTGTCCTTGGGGATGACATTGACTCTATAGGTTTGATATGCTCATATACACAGATTTGTGCACATTTGCCTCAGGCTTCATTAGCGATTATATGAGTGCATGAAACTGTAATCATGCTGTGATCATGAAACCCTTCAAAAAAAGCTAACATTAGTTCATTTCTAATTACCTGCCATCTATTTTGCATTCACAAGCTGTCTAACAGGCTAAATGCATATTCACAAACGCTGTGTGCCATTGATGTCTGTGATTGGGTTGAATTTACACACTGTTTTCATTCATGAATCGGTAGGGTAACATGTGCGACACGGGGTTAACCGCTAACCCAACCCCCTCCGGAGACACGACTGCTGTTTGCCTTGTTTACCTATTGATCCCGAGATGATGCTTTTATTCTGCTCGACATTATGAGATTGCAGCGTTGTTCCTGGAGGATATGAAAGGCAGTGTGGGAATAGACTGATAGAATATGAGGTTGCTGTGTTTGTGTGTGTGTGTCAATGCTGAGAGAGGAAGTTTGTTAACTCTTTACCTAATACTTGACACTCAATTTCAGGTGTAACAAGGAGTCTGCAAATATTATTATGCATTTTAACTTTGGTTACAATTATTTATGAAAAAATATAATGCATTATATTGTACATTATATATGTCTTTATAATGCATCATACATGAGGGCTCTTGCTTATTGTTTCATTGTCATCCTCGCTATGTTTTATAATTGAAAGTTATGGAGGAGACATTGCAGTTTGGTGATCGAGTGGAGATGAGAGGATTTCTTATTCCACATTTTCCCTGATATACCTAAATAATCTGAGAGCGTTTTAAAGGAATATTTCCCCAAAAATGAAAGTTCTGTCAATATTTGCTCTCCGTTATGTTGTCACTGTTATTTTTTCAATGCAAAACATTTTTGAAGAACCTCTCCTCAGTTTATTATGGATAATCTTCCTGTCCGCTGCAGCTATGGCATCTCATTTGTTCACTTGAGATGCTTATTAGAACCAGCACTGTCAAGGCCCTCAAACCTGGTTCGTTTGAATGCACCGAATGAGATTGTGAATGAGATTTCAGAGCTTCGGTGGAGGGAAAGACTATTATTAGGAAAAGACCTGTGTAAAGATTCATGTTTTATCTTTCACAGAAAAAAACAGCATATAAATAGTGACAGATTTTGCATTTTTGCCTGAACTGTTCCTTTAAGCACACTGTAGTACAGCTTTTTTTATAGGCATGCGGGTATTCTCACATTGTTGCTGTGGCACAGATAATAATATCGTTGCTTCTCTCCCTCTGAACACAATAGACTTAATTTCCAGTGCTGATTACAGGCCTAATCTCCTCCTGCATATACCTCCATAATTACCACAGCAAGGTCACACACCAGAGCATCGTTACTGGAGATAAAGGCCACACAGCATTCTTAAGACTGAGCCTGGGATATTTCAGTGACCCCTGTTCGTTCTGTAGCAACACACAAATAACACTATTAAGTTGAAGAACAACAAGAGACATGACACAATATTGCATTAAGGTTTAAAATTTAATATAGTTTATTTATTTATTATAAAAGGTGCATAAAAAAAATGTAAAAGAAATATTTAATAAAGTTTTTTTTATTATTTCATGCACATTGATAATTCAGTGCCTTAAATACTGAAAAATTATTTTAAAAACTATAAAGAGTGCATGAGAAACAAAAAATAACAATAAATAGCAAAGCAATGTTTAGTATTTAATATTTTGTGTGTTTGTTTATAGTATTTCATACATATTGTTAATTCAAAGTGCTTTACATACTGTAAAATTATTAAAAATTATAAAATGTGCATGAGACATAACAAAAATAGCTGGAAAATTAATATAATGTATTTGTTTATTATACACATTGTTAATTCAAAGTGCTTTACATACTGTTATATTATTACAAAAAGGTGCATCAGAAATAAAAAATAACATTAAAAAGAAAGACATAATATAGTTCATATATTTTGTTTATTTACTGTATTTCATACACATTGGTAATTCAAAGCGCTTTACATACTTTAAAATTATTTTTTACAAATCTTAAAAGGTGCTTGAGAGATAAATAACTAACAAGTAAGAAATAAAAATGTTTAAAAAGAAATTACAAGAAAAAGTCAAAGTAGTGAGTTTTTAATTGTATTTATTTTATCAGTACTTGAATATTAAATCAAATATAATTGTATTTAAGCAATATCACTTTTTTCATTTTTTACAACAGTTTGAGTGAGAGGAGAGACACGTTTTAAGTGCGTGCACACTCTGAGAGCAGCCTGTATCTGAGCGCGAGCGTCCGGTTTTGTGCGAGAGCAAAGGAAATCCGTGCGCGAGCGGAGAGATTCGCGCTCGCGCAATATATTAATGTGCTTTCGCGCTACAATAATGCGCTCTCGACATTTGTCATTAAACTAACGCCATAGAGGAGTGCTGCGTCTGAGCTGTGAGCTTCAGCCGTTTGAATTGACCTAGAGAAAATGGTTCAGAGCAAGGATTTTGTTTGGTTCATGTCTGAGGTGTGCATTTCATTATAACAACTGGGGGAATCCAAAAACCTGTCAAGAGCGTTTCTGGGTCATGTTTATTTATTTAATTATGGGGTTAAATAAGAAATGCATGGAAGAAAACAACAGTATTGTTTAAAATTAATATGTATTATTATTTTGCATTACTTACAAGTATTTATAGATGTTATGCTGCCAATTTAAAGCTGCAGTCCGTAAGTTTTGCCTCTTTGTTGCCTTGGCAACTAGCTAAAATACGTTTTATATATATATATATATATATATATAATTTCATTTAACGTTTATTTTATTTCAAGCAACAAGAATGTTTTTATATTGTTTTAAATGTTAGTTTCAATTGTAGATATCTACTGTATAATAACCCTGGTTAAAATGAACGCTTGGCAAAATCCTTTTTGCACATTAATATAATCAGTTTTAGTAGCAGTAACACTAATGTTGTGTACCTGCATTACCTGCAGTTCCACAAAATAATTATAGATTAAGTGCATGTTACCTGTTAGTATTTTTCCATGCTCATTAATAGAATTAATGTAATGGACACCGTAATGCGTGACTGTGTGTTGCAAGGGACACATCTACAGTATAAGACGTGTTATTTACTGATATGCTAGTGAGGCTGACAGAAGAGAAATGATGTTATGACAGATCAGGCAAATGCATTTATACTGTGTATTAAAGCACAGGAAGTTCTATAAGCGATGGTGATCAGTAGCAGGAAAGAAGAGCTTGTGTGGCTTCATTGCTGGATACTGAGACGTTGCTGCTTGTCACTTGAGGCTTCAGGCATTATCATCTCAGTTATTGAATAATATGAGTTGTGCAGGACAGGAAGAGATCGAGTGGATGTTTTCTGAGAGCAAAAATGGCACTATAATCAAATCTATAGTCACATTTCTAACTCTAAAGTATTTTCTTATCCTGTATTTATCTTATCCTGGCAAACTGAGCGTTTAGGCTAAATCGGAGAGGAACGCCTTAGTTAAGATAGAATTGATTTTTCTATCGTGCCCTACATTTTATGCGTTACAGTATCTATATTTCTATCTCTATTGTATTATATATTATATACTCTATATTCTATCTCTTTTAGTATTTATGTAACATTTAAGTACATTTAGATTTAGACATTTAACATTTAGATTTTGTTCGTTTTAATATCGGCATCAGAAGTGCCTTTCATTTGTTTTTTAATTGTACAGCATTTTTGACTCAAATATTTTTTTTTAAATTGATGGTTCACCCAATAAATTAAGTTTCTGTTATCATTTACTCTCCATCATGTTGTTTCAAACCTGTATTGCCAGGGCTGTGTTTCTCGATAACGATTGATCTTAGCACTTAAGAGCGTTTTCTATGAGTCAATTTAAGATCGTTCGTTATTGTTTCACGTGTGTTTCCCAAAATGCACTTGACACAATCGCACGTAGATGTGCTTTAAGTGCTACTTAGGAGTCGCTATCCGTTTGTCAAGTGCTGAAATGTCACCTTATAGAATGGCTTGTAATTGTAGTACACGCTCGTTTATTGAAATGTTAACCTAATGCTGCGTTCCAGACAACTCGGATATAATAACTATAATACAATGTTATATTATTATATTATAGTTATATGTATAATATTATACTTTATAATATACTTTATATAAAAAATATATATTATAGTATATAATATCTATATAGAGATGTTAATTCCGGGTCCAATACATGGCT